CGTGCATCGCCCATTCTACAATAGAATCTGAATTCATAGCTTTAGATAAGGCCGGTGAAGAAGCTGAATGGCTCCAGAATTTCTTGGAAGATATTCCATTTTGGCCCAAACCTTTGGTACCTATTTGTATACATTGTGATAGTCAAGCGGCAATAGGCAGGGCAGGGAGCGTTATATATAACGAAAAATCTTGTCATATACGACGGAGACATAATACCGTTAGACAACTACTCTCTAGTGGTGTTATCACAATTGACTACATAAAGTCAAGAGATAATGTGTCGGATCCACTTACAAAAGGCCTATCTAGAGAGACAGTTGAAAGATCATCAAAAGGAATGGGGTTAAGGTCTAGGATAAATCATCATGACGGTAACTCTACCTAGCAAACTGGAGATCCCACGAGCTAGGTTCAAAGAGATCAAACAAAGTTATGAATGACGGTTCAACATTGTTAAATAACTCAACCCATTCTCGTGATGAAGACAATGTTCAGTAATCGAGGTAAAGCATTAAGGCTTTTTGATGAGTCAACAAAGCTTAAAGATTTTTTAATGATTTGCTAAGTATGGCAGGATATGACCAGATAGTGTGTCTACAGGATTACACGTTTAGAAATCACCTATGTGAGTGTGAAGTGTAAGCCGTTTCAAGGGGAATGAAAGTAAAGGCCCATTCTCTAAGCACTCATGAAATCAGGCGGTGTTCATGGCTAAAACGAATACAACCGTGAGAACCATATGTAAATATATATTCATGTATGACGTTAACTTTGAATTATTATTTCATATAATACAAAATAAATGATCTAAATATGACATATTCTTTTGTAAATTGAAAGTAAATATACAAAAAAATGCGCATGAAAATTTAAAATGAAATATCAAAATGACTAAAATTAGAACGAATCAAAAGTGCGTAGATCCCTAAGGAGTAATTAATTTCGTTTATTACGCAGCAGAAAGGAAAATCCGATCAAGTACCCAAAATAGGAGTTGTTCCCAAAAATAGGCCAACAGCTGGTGCTTTTTGAATTTTGATTTGAGCAAAGTGGCCTTAAGATATGGCTAATTGTGCAAAAGGATAAGTAGCAAATTGTCTTTAAATCTATAGCCTGCATTCAGAATGTAACGGAACATAAACTTGGATACGGACAGAAATTAACATTAGGCATGAGTGTTCAAATCGAATCGGAAAATCGCACCAAATCGATTTAAAAGCCCGATTAAGTTTAGTTTGATTTGGTTTGACATTAAGTAAAAAAATATGAACCAAACCGATATATAAATATATAACTTTTACATATACTTTTAAAATTTTGTATAGAATTTTCTTTAAAAAATATCTAAAAATATCATGAGATATAATATTTAATAAAACTATGAAGTGCATTCATTTTTATTTACTTTAAATAATGAGTTGTATTAATTTTTTATCGAGTGTTATTAAAATGCGTCAATCATCTCTTTGTTCTTCTATATTCATATGTCAAGATTTCTTATATCTTTTTCCAATTTGAAGTGGTTTTTTGATAATTTAAAATTAAATAGAATATATCATTATTTAGGTATCATATTGATTTTATGTTTAATTATTAAATATGGTTAATCTTAAAAGCGTACATCAACGAAAAATTATTGTTAGACGACTAAGAAAATAACTATCATGTGTTACTAAAAACGTTCTGCCATAAGCATATTTTAATAGATCATATGTGTGTCAATATTTTAAATTTTTAGTAAACATATATTCACTAATCAAAATTTTATCTTTAATTTTATCAAAGTAAGATTGAAATAATATTCATATAACAAAAAAACCCAACAAAATCAAACCAATCCAAACCGATATAGTTGGTTTGATTTTGATAAAACGCGAATCAACTCAGTCCATGTACACCCCCTGCCATTAGGTCATAAGGTGGCCTATTGAGGTAGCGATAGGTCGCTCATTTACTGGCGCCCTACGATAACTTTATTTTGCTGCCAATTTAAATTGCGGACCTAATTAAGCATCACTAACAAATTATCTCATTTTTCTCTTCGTCTATTAATTGTTTGTGTATATTTTTTGTAGGGAGAGTTTTACCAGGTAATGACTAAAATTAATTTTTTTTTACCAAAAACAATTATCTGTTAATTCATTAAAAACATGATATATCCAGAGGAATGTACAACATCATTTACAATCTTAATTTGGGAACATACTTTCTCAAGAGAAATCATGTATCGAAGAAACAGAGAACTTCGTTAAGTTATGAGCAATAAAATTAAAAGTCAACTAAATATGTACAGAGGCAACATGATCCAAGTACGAGGACGTGTTCCAATTTCCAAATATCTTCACATGCCACATCCAAGTCTCAAGTAGCTTTCTAATCTTCAACATATTTACTACACCTATATATATATATGTATATATATATATATATAACCATTATAAATCACTCTTTAAACCCATAAAGATACAGTCAACCTACTCTATAACAAATTTGTTTGTTCTGATATTTTTTGGCTTTTATAGTGAATGATTGTTATATTCCTACAATAACATTTGACGTAAAAATATTTTTTGGCTGTTATAGATCAAAATTAACCAAAAATTAATTATTTTTCCTTTTTTAGTGTAAAATATAAAAGATTAAAAAATTATTTAAATTTAAAATCTCAAAAGATATGCATATTTCACTAGTTAAATATTGAAGAAAACTAATACATTTTTAATAAACACATAACTAAACGTATAAAGATTTAAATTCTAAGGCAGACATTTTAAATCTACCTAGAAAAATAAATTCTTTCAAGATTGATGGAAGAACTTTTGTAATTGTAGCTTGTTTTATAGATTTTATTATCTTACTAGAGATATAAAGCTTGAATTGGCGAAGATTCGTGTACAAATTTTTAGCAAAAAAGGTATCCAATAGCTTTCCCTTGAAGACAATCTAAGAGCTTAACAGTTAAATTTTATATCAATTTTTTTTTTGGAATTTGTCCAATGAAAAAGATATCATGTGTAAATCTTCAAATCTTATATCTTATGCAAGATAAGAACTTTGTTTAATGGAAAAGATTGTGTGCATATTTTAAAATTATTATTAGTAATTTTAATGATTCTATATGGCTTTTATAAAGAAGTAATTTTACAAAAAACGTACTGCTATAAATATGAATGTTGTTGTTATAGGTAAAAAGTTGTTGTAGAGAGGTAAAATATAACTTAAAAATTAGGTTCTGAGGAAAATTTAATTTTTATAGTAAATGACTGTTATATATGGATGTTGTTATAGAAAAATCCGACTGTATTGCTAAAATGCTAAGTGTGCAAAGTGTAATTTAGCAAGTTGTCCTTAAATTTATAGACTGCATTAAAAATATATCTATTCGTTTCTAACTAACCCCGTATTACTATAATCCCTTTTCTCTTCCTCAATAGTCAATAGTCAATAGTCAATACTATTTCTAGTGTAAACAAGCGGTTACTTTAATATATAAATATATTTCCTTTTTCTTTTTATTGAAATCCATTTCTTATTCTTCAAGTCCAAAACAGAACAATTGACTTTTACTTTTTTTTTTGGGGGATAAACTTGTTTGCTTTTATATTTCCTTGAATCAACTCATTTTAGTCAATTGAGTGGTAGTTATTCTCCTCCACCACCGAACACACACGCTTTTATGCAATCGCAGGATTAAAATAGTTTTACCAGGTAATTAAGCTGATTAATACAATATTATAGATATATAAATTGCAGTCATGCAACTGTAATTATTCTAAGAGGTTTGGTTGATAGAGCGTGTAATAATATACTTTTTGCGTGTTTCACTTTATTACTCCGTTTTAAAGAGAATACCGCATTTCTAATTAGGATGTAATCTAACTATAAACTTCTCTCTTTACACCTAATACCATGCTTAATCACACAAATCACATTGTAGATTTAAAATCATAAATTCCGAAAATATTTTTATCTCCAAATTTATTATCCTCATTTTATTTCTTCCCCTAAAAAGACAAAATAGAGCCCCCCCCAAAAAAGGGAAACTACCATGCTTGCATCCCATCACAAAATAGGACATGACATCGACAGCTAGGCAGAAGGACTTTTCTCAAGTTAACTCTTTATATAAACATGTTTTAGAAATAATCATTTTCTTATCTTAAACAAACAAAACACAACTAAAATATTATTTTTCAAATCCAATTCTCCCAAACGCAAACGAAACAAATCCTTCCAAAATCATATATAAACAAGAAATAAATCAAATGCCACCTGATTACAAAATAATTATAAAATAAATTCTATCAATATACTTTCTTGAAATTAAGTTACTAATTACAAGAGTAGAAAAAAATTATAAAAAAAAAACATCTTAGACGTCAAGTATGACACAATTTCCCTTTTAAATGGGGCAAAAAGTTGTTACCATTCCCCCCCCCCCACACCTAGTTAATGCACTCAATTATTTATATATATCAAAAAGAACATGAGAATAAGACGGCTATACCATAACTAAAAGTGTCAAACTTTCTAATTTAGTTAATTTTTCTATTAAAAGTAGTAATATATACTAATATTGGACTTCTAGTTATTTCGCACCTATGTTTTTCTTCAAAAGAAAAAAACTTTTAATAAATCGTGTACTCTCTTTATCCCAATTTATGTAATATTTACTTTTTTAAATTTACACTTTTAATTTTGATCATACATTTTGACATAAAAAATTTCAGTTTTTAAAAATATTTTAGTTAAAAACTACGTCAAAAGCACTGTAAGTCACAATAATTAATAATTTAAAATATTTAAAAATATATATATATAAAAATTTATGATAAAAAAAAATAATTTATTTGACTCTCGGAATATGAATAACTTCAAATTAATTGGGAAGGAGGGGCCGAGGGGTACTATTTTTCTTTTCTTATTTTAATTAAGTCTTACATTAAAAAAATATCTGAGACTTGAGGAAAACGCGTAAGTGGACAGTGGTATCTGAAAAGCCAGACGACATTCAAAGTCGTTATTCAAACTTCAACACTCATAATCCAATTTTTCCTTACATTTTTTAATTCTACACTACGCCATACAAAACTCATAATCCAAGACCCAAATCACTCACATTTATTTCCTTCTTTTTTCTCCTTTATTTTTCCTCTCCTCATTCCCCTATACGAATTGTTCCTCATTTTCCTATTTCATTTCTTGAGTTCTAACCCAACTCATTTTTCTGGATTCCTGAGGATTTTTCATTCAGATAAAAAAACTATTTTAAAGAAATTTTTAGCAGTATTAGTGATGACAAAATTCATTCTTTTTATTTTGTTGTTTATATTCTTGTTTTCCTCTGGTTTTGTTGCCTGTGGAGGATTTTACAGTTTCCAAAAGCTGAATTCTAGTGTTTCAGGTATTGAATTCCCTAACCATCCAAGCTTTAATGCTGTTTCTTCTTCAGCTGACTCAGATTGCAATTATGGAGTTTCTCAAAAATCAACCACTCATTCAATAGATGGAGAAGATGAAGAAGTTTCCATTTTTGGAAACCCAAAAAAAGAAGCTGTAAAGTTTCAGTTAAGGCACAGATCAGCTGGTAAAAAAACTGAGGCTAAAGATTCAGTCTTTGAGTCAAGAGCAAGGGATTTAAGCAGAATTCAAACATTGCATACAAGAATTGTAGAGAAGAAAAATCAGAATTACAATTCGAGACTTGCAAAAAATGATAAAAAACATAAGCCTGTGATTGCTCCGGCAGCAGCCTCGCCGGAATCTTATGAACTTTCCGGCAAACTAATGGCAACTTTGGAGTCAGGTGTAAGCCTTGGCTCTGGAGAGTATTTTATGGATGTCTTTGTTGGTACACCACCTAAGCATTTTTCTTTAATTCTTGATACTGGTAGTGATCTTAATTGGATTCAATGTGTTCCTTGCTTTGATTGTTTTGAACAAAATGGACCCCATTATAATCCTAAAGACTCTACTTCCTTTAGAAATATAAGTTGTCATGATCCTAGGTGTAAATTTGTTACATCCCCTGATCCTCCTCAGCTTTGTAAATCTGAGAATCAAACTTGTCCTTATTACTATTGGTATGGTGATAGTTCTAATACTACTGGCGATTTCGCGCTTGAAACGTTTACTGTTAACCTCACGACGATGAGTGGGAGTGAATTTAGGGAAGTGGAAAATGTGATGTTTGGTTGTGGTCATTGGAATAGAGGATTATTTCATGGTGCTGCTGGTTTGTTAGGATTAGGGAGAGGGCCGCTTTCGTTTGCTTCTCAGCTTCAATCTTTATATGGTCATTCGTTTTCGTATTGTCTTGTTGATAGGAATAGTAATTCTAGTGTTAGTAGTAAACTGATTTTTGGTGAAGATAAGGATGTTTTGAAACATCCACAGTTGAATTTTACTTCATTAGTTGGAGGCAAAGAAGTGGAAACTTTCTACTATGTGCAGATAAAATCTGTCATAGTTGGAGGAGAGGTGCTGAATATACCCGAGGAGACGTGGAATTTGTCTCCAGAAGGTCTTGGTGGTGCAATCATTGATTCAGGTACCACATTGAGTTATTTCGCGGATCCTGCTCATGAGATTATAAAAGAGGCATTTGTCAATAAGGTTAAGGGCTATCCTGTTGTACAAGACTTTCCTATTCTGAATCCATGCTACAATGTGTCTGGTGTGAAGAACATGGAATTTCCCTCGTTTGGAATCGTGTTTGGTGATGGAGCTGTCTGGAATTTTCCAGTAGAAAACTACTTCATCAAACTCGAACCAGAAGATATCGTTTGTTTGGCTGTTTTAGGGACTCCTCAATCTGCTTTGTCGATAATTGGAAACTATCAACAGCAGAATTTTCACATCTTGTATGACACCAAGAGGTCCAGACTGGGATATGCACCAACAAAATGTGCTGATTCTTGAAATTTTATGTACAGTATTCTTGGGGTGGAAGTTGGGAAAATTGTGTTCATTATTTCCTGAACTTATAACAGTTCATATACATTGTAGGTTATACATTAATTTTTTCCCCTTAGTTGTTTTTTAACTGTAGATGATTTTATGTTGCTTGACAGAAACTGTCAACTATGTAAGAAAATTGTAATAGGAGGTTTTCTCACATTATGAAAGTATGAATCATTGCTTTTTAAAGTTCGGTTCATTCTTAATCTTCTCTGTACATTGCTTCTAACAATATTTCTGGTTGCAGTGTCTTAATCCACGAAAGAAAACCTTGCGTAACTGATAAAGTTGTTGCCGTGTGACTAGGAGGTCACATGTTTGAGCCTAGGAAACAATCTTTTGTGGAAATGCAGGGTAGACTGCGTACAATAAACTCTTATGGTCCGGCCCTTCCCCGAACCCCGCACATAGCGAGAGCTTAATGCACCGGGCTGGTAACTAGTAAAGTTGTTGCCATGCGACCAGGAGGTCACGGGTTTGAGCCGTGGAAATAACATCTTGCAGAAAATGCAGGGTGGACTACATATAATAGATTTTTGTGGTCTGATTCTTCCTCGGACCCCGCGCATAGCGAGAGCTCAGTGCACCGGACTGCCCTTTAGTGTTTTCATCCATATGCACTATGATTTGAAATCAAGAAATTTAATTTAACCATGTATTTTGACATTCAATCTCCTCAACCATACAGAGTGAATAATCATGTGAAACACATCATATCTCTTTGGTGGATCATTTATGACAAAATGCCTTTGCACTTGTCTCACTCCCTCTACCATTTTTTCATATCTTTCCTCAGAAACTCCTACTAAAATATTTTTCAAGTTTGGCAATTCACTTACTGAAACTTGAATTGAGAACTTGTCCCAATCAAGAACATCACTAAAGGGCAGCACATAATTTTTTGAGATCAAAACTGGAACACAGTTTGCATATATAGCCTCCACAATTCTTGGACTTGCCACTTCATAACCACTCGGACATAGGCAAAATTTGCTACTCTTCATCATTTCATCATAAGATAATTCTGGTGGAATTTTGCTATATACTCTTATATCCTCATCTTTTTCCTCCCAGTGTTGGAAAAGTATAGGCCGAATTCCCGTGTGATCGTCCTGCAAAGAACCCTAAGATTGTCTTGTTTGACTTGGGCAATGCTTCAACATGTCCATTAATGTTTCCTGTTAGAAGATTAATCTCTGGAAGTGGTACATCTTTTCTTGGATTAAAGAACTCAGATGTATTTGCATTGCATAATACTCGAATCGAAGTGAAATACATTTGATGCACGTACCATGTAGCTCGAGGCCCCTACAAATGTACAAAAGTATAATGTTACACGTATCTCTATGTAGTCAGGCCTATCTGTAACATACACTATCCACTATAACGGTCAAGTTTTATTTGGAACTGATTTTTTTATCATGTCATGTTATATCATACGTTGTCTATAACAATATTTTGCTATAGCGGCCAAAAAAGATTGTCCGGACAAAATGACGTCATTATAGAGAGGTTTGACTGTATAAAGTTTTCAAATTCAATAATGTACTTACCCAATCATGACATGAAAGCATAAAATGATCAACTCCGAGGCTTCTATTCCAGTATGGGTATTTCGTCGATACAGTACGAACATAATCACGAACAATGCGTTCCAAGACGGCCTTATCGCGAATGATTGGATCAAACAGGTGCTCAAGGATCATAACAACACTAAAGGGAAGGAAATAGACATGAGCTTTTTCAGGATTAAGAGTACGAAAATGGTTGTTTGCTTCCATTAGGTTAATAAACATGCCTTCCATTGAGTATATGTTCTTGCAAGGACCATAGTGAAATAGAGGAGGTTCTCCTTCTTCGTCCACAAATATCTTGAATAGTTTCTCCATTAGCAAATAACTCCTGCATTACTTGGGCAGAAGCTAGAAATTTTGAGTAAACAGTGATGAACATACTGGCTGAAAATGTAACCAGTGAATCCGACTGGTTATTGATGTAAAGATTCCAAAATGAATAGAATACAATGTGTTCTGGGCCAACACATTGGACTCTCATGCATTAAAGGAGGGGCAAGTGCACATATAGTCATTCTCAGGGATTCTATTTAGAGATTAGCCAATACTTATTTTGTCATGAAATTTTAAAATAAAAATCTTAAGTTTAGGACAATTCAGGACATTTTTGTCATGAAAAACTGAAATTCATGATGCACTGACTAATTCTTAAATAGCAGCCCTTTAGAGTGGCTACTTGGTGTCATTTCTACTAGGGGTGTACATGGACCGGGTTAGTTAGAATTTTATCAAAACCAAACCAACCCAATTATATCGGTTTGGATTTGTTCGGTTTTGTCGGATTTTTCGGATTTTTTTGTTACATGAATATTATTTCAATATTGCATTATTAAAGTTATAGATAAAATTTTGATAAGTGAATAAATATTTACTAAATTTTTTTAAAAAAAATAACAAACATATGATCAAGTGATCTTATGGGAGAAGTTTTTTAGTTACACATAATAGTTTATTTTCTTAGTCGTCTACCAATATTTTTGGTTGATGTACGCTTTCAGGGTTAACCAAATTTAATAATTAAACATAAAAATCAATATGATACCTAAATAATGATATGTTCTATGTAATTTTAGATTATCGAAATACCACTTCAAATTCGAAAAATATATAATAAATCTTGACATATGAATATGAAAGAACAAAGAGATGATTGACGCATATCAATAACACATAATAAGAAAGTGATACAATCTATTATTTAAAGTAAATAAAAATGAATGCACTTTATAGTTCTATTAAGTATTATATCTCATGAGAGGATCTCAAATATTTCTAGATATTTTTAAATAAAATTCTATATAAAGTCTTAAAATCATATATTTATATGTCGGTTTGGTTCAGGTTTTTTTACTCAATACCAAACCAAATCAAACCAAACCTAGTCGGGTTTTTTGATCGGTTTGATTTGACTTTTTGGTTTTGTACGATTTTCCGGTTCGATTTGTACACCCCTAATTTCTACAATAAAGGAAGGTCTCTTTGCTGAGCATATGCCCAACATGTGTATGGCCTGTTCAAATAAAATCTAGTCTTCTATCATGAGTCCATCTTAAATGAGCAAAACAGAAGGTCTGATCCAAAACAGTTGGAGATAGAAGCCTTAAAAATTATCGGAAATGAAACTTCTTTTTTTTTTTTTGGTAAATAATAACTTTCATTACCAAGTAATAATATTTACAGCTCAAGAGAAAAACAAAACTAAGAACCAGAACTAAGTCTAGACATAGTCCCAGACTACAATTTCCCTATCTCACCATCTACGCCAACAAGTTACTTCTAATTGACATTACATCAGTACTCTCTCATGCTTAAGGGTAGAAATTTAGGCTATCTAGTTTCCTTGACAAATGTGGCTTCATGGTCCCTCGTTGAAATATTTCCTGTATTATCTGTCTGATAATGCAGCGGTTGCCTCGCCTTTTGTTCTGAAATAATATTTGATTCCTCTCCTGCCAAATGAAATAAACACAGCATGCAAGTGTAGGTGACTGCCCAAGCTACCCCATCATGCCATCCCATTGGTTGTCTGATTATTCTCTGCCATTGTAGCAGTTGGTGCCATATCTTCGCAGATATTACACACTGAAAAAATAAATGCAGCACACTTTCATTCTCTACATTACACAAATGACATGTTGAGTTTGTGGTGATACCCCATTGCATCAACCTGTCCCTAGTATATAACCTTTCATGAGCAACTAGCGTTAGAATGAATATCCATTTTGGTGCACCATAATTATTGCAAACCAGTTTCTTCCAAGCTAATTTAGGGAAGTCCCCCCTTAGCTTCTTGTAGTAGTCTTTGATGGAGAACTGCTGTATATTGATCAAATCTTGCATGCCCATCCCAGCTTGAATCACATACTTACTAGCTTTCACTATTTTCTGTAGCAACCATGACGCCTGATTACACCTAGCTTCCCAGATTGGAATGTTTGCACCATAGTAAGCATGAACTCAGCGCACCCATAATCTGTCTTTCTTCTTGCATAGGTTCCATAATTGTTTGCAAATGGAAGCTTTGTTCCATATTTCTACATCAACAAAGTTTACTGCCCCCCCTGTCATGGGATAACACAAAGTTTTCCAAGCAAGAAGTGCTTTGTTAGAACTTCTTGTATCTCCCATCCATAAGAATATTCGACATGTTGTCACTATCAAGTTGATTATCCTCTTTGGCAAAACAAAAACCTGCGACCAATATGTTTGAATACCAAACAAGACACTCTTAATTAGCATTACTCTTCCAGCATAGGAGAGAAACTTACTGGTCCAGCTTGTGATTTTACCCAATATCTTATCTATCAATGGCTGACATTGTGCAATAGATAGCCTCTTAGAGCTTAGGGGCACCCCCAGGTATCTGAATGGAAGCTCCCCTTTTGAAAATCCTAGTATAGCTAATATCTGTTGTTGAAACACTAGATTAACTCCCCCAAAGTATACCGAGCTCTTTGTAAGATTGGCAGTAAGTCCAGATACCCGTGAAAATTCCCGAAAACTGTTGAATAGTAGTTGCACTGAAGTCTTATCACCCTTGCAAAATAGAAGTAGGTCATCAGCAAATCCAAGCTGAGTGATCCTAAGTTTAGCACACTTAGGGTGGAACTTGAATGCCGAATTTTTTATCATATTTTTTAGTAGTCTGCTCAAGTACTCCATCACAAGCACAAAAAAATAGGGGGACATTGGATCCCCCTGTCTAAGCCCCCTCTTTGCTGCAAAAGGTCTACTTGGTTTGCCATTAATGTTGATTGAGTAGGACACTGTTTTCAAACAGGTCATGATTCAGCTCACAAACTTTGTTGGAAAGTGCAAACCTTGTAGTACCTTTTCAATAAATACCCACTCTACAGAGTCATATGCCTTCTGCATATCAATTTTGAGCATGCATCTGGGAGATATCCCTTTCCTACCATAATATTTGACAAGTTCATGTCCCAAGATGATATTGTCTGTAATAACTCTACCCGGCACGAATGCAGATTGACTATTATCAACTAACTCAGGCATAAGAGCTTGCATCCTCTTAGTAATCACCTTGGATATAGTTTTGTATAGCACAGTACAGCAGGAGATAGGTCTAAACTCTTTCACACTAAGAGGGTTCCTT